CTTCTCTCTTCAGACATCATTTATATTTTTACATTTATATTTTTTTTATTCCGACTGCAGCCTCCACTTACGGAAACCTTAACAGAATATTTTTTTCCTGCCACAGAAATGTCAGATTTCAGCAGAGTAAGTAAAAAGCTAATACCTAATATCAACCCCTCTGAGGTGTCACAGTAATATACAGCTTAGAAAGAAAAAGAGGATATTCTGGTTTGCTGGTTTGGAAACACCCATAGAGCTCAGTAATTACGTGGTTGTGGCTTTTCTATCTTCGGCACATAGAGACTCGTGTCCCTGCAGTGTGTCACTCCCTCGGCTCAAGTGCTCAGACAGAACAAGTGCAAAGAAAAACAAGTGGTTCAGACGTCCTTGTCTAAATGTACATGTTTATTTTTTTTCTTAGTGTGGACATTAGCAGAAGGAAACGAGGTAAAGAAAATTAAATCAAAACTCGAGAATCCAAGATTTAAATATGAACATTTATTCAAAAATGTGAAATACTAATGTTTTGGACGTTATGATATGAGGATGTATACTGCGAGTAAAAGAAAACGCTCCCTGTAGTTTAATTTGGACATTCAATCCTCTACAAAGGTGATTGCTTAAAGCTGAATTTGACCTCTAACCTTTCATCCCAGCCTGAAAACTCAAGATTTTAACATATTTGGCTTCATCACAAAATGAAAATGGACGAAAATGAAACCAAAACAGCAGATTTCTCTTGTAAACACTCAACTGACCCATGATGAGAAGGTCAAACACACTCTTTGCTTTGTTCGGCCCATGAAAGGGTGAGAACTTCTGGTGCAGTGCCACAGAACTGTTTGCGTCTGCATCTGCTCCAGTTCATGTTCAAGGTGATTTTATTTTATTTACACAGATTTCACAAGAAAAGTCTCAACAGACTGAGAAGAAGCAGGAGAAGTCATGAAACTGAGGCCAAAACAACAAAAAGGGATGAGGATCCTTGAAACAAACCAGAGTAACGTGGATGAGATCACGGAGGACGGGGTTCTGGTTCTGGTTCTGCAGCCTGGCGCAGAGAGGAGACAGAGCTTGTTGTCTGGATACCTGTTTGCCAATGGAACGAAGCTGAGACAGCAGGAATTTCAAGTTTCCCCTTTGGCTTCTTAATGAACTGAAAATCTCCAATTTTCCACTGGCAGCTCACCGACTTACATCAGTGTTCACCGAGACGCTGATTCTGCTTCATCAGCAGCTCTGACAGAAAAGAAGCTTGAACAGAAACAGCCTGAAATGATCAACACAGACCAACGGCTCCACTTTTGGAAGTGACCCATCCAAATTCTTCTGGTGCACTTAAAAAACACATCGAATTAAACAAACCAGTAAAATCTCACAAACAGAACGAAACAAGAGTTTAAAGATATAATAATAAAAAAACCAGGTTTAAAGTTTTCCTCCGTCCTCGCTGTGTCACAGCTACAGGCTGGTTTGTGTCTGTGCCCAGGTGGGCTGAAGAGGCGGCTGACCCAAAACCTCTGAATAGAAGAAGTGATGCTTTTAATCAGAGCAGAATTACTCCTCCATGAATATGATCTGGTCACAGAGTCCTGCATTGAGCGCCGGCCCCATCAGGTGACCTCAGGAACGCAGAAAAACATCACGTGGCAGCGAAACGATTCGTCCGGCTTGCAGGACGACATTGTACTGGCGCCCGTCACCGCGATGCAACCGTGAACTCAGGCTCAATTCAGAGTGAAGGAAAAAAAAGAAAAAAAAAAGAAAAGCAGCCATTTTGGTTGAATCAGATGGTGCATGTGGGCCGGTGTGTGGGAGGGGCTCCGTTCGTCTGAGCAAAGTGGACGAGACTTCAAATAAAAAACCAATGAAGTTACTCTAATGCTCTAATAAGTTCCCACGTGGACGTCCACGATTACGATCCTCCTGGAGGATTCTGGGTGGGATGCTGTTGCGGCTCTCTGTGAAGTGTTCCAGCTGTTTGAAGAGGATTCTGCCGGGGGACACCTCAGAGAGGACTCCTCTCGCTGTCCACCGTTAAAGTCTGCGACGTGTGTCCGTCGTCCCAGAATCCTCTGCAGATATAGAAACAAGTCGTGTGGCTGAGAAGCAATGCTGCTATTGACGAGACAGAACTTTGCTAATCAGCTGATACATACATTACCTGAACCACAGATTTTTTGGAATCGGCTAAATTCCCTTTCTGGAGATTGTCTGAATACAAAATACAGAATGAAACATACAGACGAGGGGGGGGGGCAGCAGGAGTGCTCCTCTTTCTCATCCTGAGACGTTTGTGTTCTTGCGTCCGTCACGTGTTTGAATCATCATGGACACGCCCACTCACTCACGTGAACTGTACGTGTATTTCCCGTCTGTGTTCTCACGAGGACTCACTCAGGCAAAGTTCTGGAAAATATCCTGAGCAACTGACTGAATTTCAGGAAATGTTTCGGAGTTCCGTGCGTGTCTGAAATCCTCATAACGTGTGTGATGTGAGAATGAACTCCTGTTTGTGCAGCTGCTCTGAGTTCTGCAGATCTTAGTCGTGTATTTGTAGCTTGTCTGGTGTTTTTCTGATCGTGTCCACGGTTTGTGTTTTAGTGTTTCACCCGAGGCCTCTGCTTCAAGTAAACTGACATGAAGAGTTTGCCATGAAAAGCATCTGAAACCAGAAACCTCTTGACTTTTACTCTCTGTGTTTAAACACCTGGTCTTCGCTCGCCACCTCTGTCACCGTCTTCGCCCTCGTTGCAGGTCTGTCCTCACTCCGTACATACCGATGTCAGGGCAAGACCCGACAGGTTGATGTGGCACGAGGCGTCTTCCTCCTCCTCTCATATCTTTCGACCTTAAAACCTGCTGAGTGACGACTCTGTGCATCTGAATTTCACGAGAAAAACAAACTCAGGAGATGCAGATTGTACAACTCCACCTCCTCAGTATTTTAAATAAACCGGTTTCTCTCTCACTCAGCAGGTTCATTTCCCTAAAGTGGATAAAACCCTGTGGTTCGATACCCGACTCTATCAGTGAGCTCCATCTACACGTGGCCAACCGTTGAACAACATCTCTCTGAGTAGTTGATGTGTTTTTATGTGTTTATCTAAGAGAACTAAATCCCTGGCTTTCATTTACAGAAACACTTAGAAAGCGTTTTTCATCATTTAATGGATCTTGATAAAAAAAACGAATCAACAATGTTTAGCAGATTATTATTAAAACATCTGAGTTTGTGTAATTTCGTCCAGATCCAAATAAAAGTCCAGATCCGGTGAGTTTAAATTTTGGTGCTGTTCTTAGTTATGTTCTCTTCTAGTTGTTCCTCTGCTTTTCTCACAGATGTTTATCTGCTGGTCGTGGATTCAGACCAGAAACCTTCTGTTCACAAGTCACTTTCTATGAATTTCAGGCAACTTGAGAATTGAATTAAAGTGAAGTTAAACTGACGTGTGTTTTGTGTGTTTCTGGATGTTGTACCTTTAAATGCAGATCACACACATCACTCCTCAGGATTGATGATACATGAACAACACAGACATACCTGCGGCTCGGCCTTAAGCCGCGCTGTGTGTTTGTAGCTGTTGTTGTGCTACAGGAATTCAGCATGAGTCAACTTGCAGGTCCGAGGCACCTGCTTGTAATTCTTGAGCGTAGTTGGCTGAAAACAAAAACAGGACAGGTGCGTCTGCGATGTTCGCAAACCTAATTCTCCACAGCCTCCAGAACTAAAACTCCAGTTTCGAGGCACATTGTTGTGTGACCCATGTTTTTTTTTTTTACTTTTTGCAGCAGCTGCCCACGATCCCACAATTTCCTGTCAGCTCACTGATGCTATTTTAAAACTACACGCGGTGCAGCGAGGGAAGGGGGTCATCGTGGATGGAATTTTGGTTTGAGAATTACGAGACAAAAAATACACAATGCTTGGACGTGTTTGTGTAACGGGTGGAGTGTAGAATTGTGTTGTGATGAAAACATCCAATGGTGTGAGACACACTTTAATAAAGAGGGTGTGAGCAGTAAAACAATGTGATAGAAATATAACAAAAGTTCAACATATACCAAACACATAATCCATCTACATCTCATTTGTAAAATGTCTTTTCTGTTTATTCTTTTAATTTTTACAACGTAAACCGTCAACAGTCACAGACCCGGCGTTCACTGGGACCAGACAAGAACGAAGATGTTGGTGAATTTGTTTAAACACAGTTTTCTTTAAACTGTGCACAAGAAAAAAACCAACAAACAAGTGATGGACAGGGATTGTTCTGGTTTTTTATTTTTTTATTTGAGAGAACGAGCACCACCTAGTGGCCACCAGTGTCATCACAGGGTGAGGAAATGAAAGAAAAAGATCTTGAAGAAGCGGAGAAATGCTGAAGTGGTTAAAACATTTGAACAGAGAGGATTAAACTAAAAATGAAGACTTCACAAATGTGAACTTTATTCCGTGCACATCATTTTATTTCCCACTGAAGTTTGTGATTCAACATTTACAGTCACCTGAATCAGACTCCGGTGTTGTCACGGTGTGTTTGAGATATAACGTGGTTTTGCATGCATCCACGTGTTTGGTTAATAATGAGATTCCCCCAAAGAAGAACCACAGAATCAGCCCGACATGAACCTGATCGCAGGTTTGTAGGTTTTAAAAGGAGACAAAGACAATCTGCATCTAGAAAGGAGGAAAGCTATGGAATCTGTGGTTTGATGGGAGGACCCATCCTAAGCACAGGGACTGGTCAGGAAGATTTCCGACTCCGGCTGCTGATCTCCGACATGTTGTCCAGCCTGATGGGAAGAGAAACAAAAATCAACTTTCATGGACATGATTGTGCCTTTTTTTAAGCTTTGTATTGGTGGAATTGTATTTGATTTTCTGATCTTCTTGTGTTTAGACTTTTGTTACGTATTTTGGGTTTTGCGCAGCCGTTTTTGGACTCTGGAGAATGTCCGCTCAATCGGCTCTGGAACAATTTTGTCTTCCACATAAAGAGATTGAAGAGTGAGACACGTTCAAAACAACAGGAAAATGTCTGGAACGTTCAGGTGACAACAACACTGTCGTTGTTAACAGAATCTCTTGAATCTCATCTTGTTTGTAAGTTGAAGTATTTGTCTTCTACGACTATCTTGAATAACTGACTCAGATATTTGTGTTGGCACCTCTGGATGATTTCAGGAGAATATCCGGAGTCCGGTGCACACATCTGAAAGTCTCTGTTTGCTTCTGAATTAGTTCCTGTTTTACTTTGAAGCTTCTCTCCTCGTGTGTCTCTTGCTTGTTTCACTTCCTGTCTCACCTCTGTGATTGTCTCTCATGTGTTTCACCTGAGTTCAGTTATCTGTCAGTATATCATAGTCCCTGTGCTCCCACCTCTCCTTCGTCTCTGATCAGCTTTTCTTTTTCGCAGTGTTTCAGTTTGTTGGTTTCCTGATTTTGTCGGACTTGTTTGATTCTGGATCTTTGAGTTTTTTTGTCTTAATTCAATCCATTGTCTTCTTCACCTGTTTCTAAATGTGTCATCAACAACAGAGTAAGTTTGACTTTTGACTTTTTCCTCATTTTGTCAATACTGCAAACAGAAGACACCCCAGAAATCCAGATGTTGTCTCTTACACACCTGCTACAACCCACAGACTATTTATAAAGATGGATGACAGAAAGCGTCTTGATTGCCCCCTGGTGGCAAGCTGGAGTATAAATCACAAATCCTGTCTCATCCGTATGACTGGATGGGACATGGACCAAACAAAGTCAAAGTGCACATGCACAAGATGGTGGAAGGAAGTGTTTCTTTTCAGTCTATGTCTACAACCTCTACAGATCCCCGATGGCCCTCCAGCTTCCAACACAACCACTAAAACTACAATTTTGCTTCTCCCCCCTTAAGAGCTGACCCCCAGCCGTCCTCCGGTTTGCTGTAGATAAATAATGGATGTACGTTTTGGTTCATACCTCTTTCTTCCTCATATTGATCACCGCCTTGATGCCCACACCAGCGACACCAGCACACACGCACAGCTGGAGAACGGCCAGCATGAATGACACGGCATCAACGTTCGCCAATAAGCGCTGTTGGACGAGAACACACACATTGTCCTGCTTCACAGTTCAGTTTCCAACATTAATACTGAATATTTATACATTTATATACAATTGCATCCAGTCTCAAGTCAGAGTGTCAGTGGCAGTGTGAGGCAGTTTTGTCAGTTACTGTAGATTTTGCTTTCAGGTATAATAATTGTAAATGTTCTTACGTCTAAAGAGGGGTCGGAATAATTGTAGAAAGCCCAGGGCCGCATGTTGCCCATGTTGATTTCTTGAAGTTCGATGCTGAACAGCACAATGCCAGTGAAGGCAAACGCTGCACTGACGATGTTCACGATCACGGTGAAGATCACCTAAAGGTGATGGGGGAAAAAATCCTTGTATTCAACTAGCATTCGATAATATTTGATGAGACAGGAGACGTTGCTCACCAGGCACTGAGAAGGGAACTGTCCGGCCAGAATGGACGTGATTCCAGCTGCAGTGTACTGGAGGAAAAGGTTGATTCAAAATCATGTTGTCATTGTTATCAGTGGTGGGACAGTGTAGTACTTTTACTTTGTTATTTTTCAGGTATATATGTTTTTAATACTTCAGTTTTCATGTACAAACACACTCTCATACTGTTTGTACATTTAAATGCAAATTCTTACCTTTTACCGAAGTAGAAAAGTTATTGTTGTACTTTCACTTCAGTACATTTCAGTCTATTTATTTTTTACCTTTACCTTGAGTAAAATGTTTGAGTACTTCCACCACTGGAAGTAATTATAATGCTATTTTACCACAGCACCCAGCCAGTAAGAAGCTCCAATATCAGTCAGATCCCAAGGGTGTAAGGGAGGTCGTCCCGGCCCGAGCGCCACGTGGAAGAGGCCCACCATGATCTGAATCGTCTGGAACAGATTCAAAACCGTTCACTCTTAAGAGCAGCTCTGTGTGTGATTCATGTGTTTCACTTTATTCATGTGTCCACCAAAAGATCTTTTTTTTTTTTWTTTCTCACCCCAAGAACTGCAGTGACAGAGGGTTTGATCAGCCCCTTGTTCACCGAGCAGCACACGGCCTTGTAGCACAGAGCCCTCAGGATCTGGCTCGGCGGTGGAACCGGGCTCCTGCTGTCGGCCTTTATGGTGATCGCGGTCACCTCCTTCTCTTTGGCGAGAGTCACAGTCATCCTTCACGCTCCTGACGGCACACGCACCTGCAACTGGACAGGTGAGGTACTGACGGTTCAGCAGTTTTTGGAAATTACAATTATTGGCTTTTCTTATTCAGATGAGAAGTTTGATGACGGCTGGAGCTGATAAGTATGAAGTTGGAGCCTGGCTCTGCCCACTTATGAATATACAACGGTATCTAACGGTTTTAGATTGGAGTTAATCTGACTTGCACTAGCTGCATGTTGCCCCATTTAAAAAAGTTAAATGAGCTGGGGCACGTCTGTTATTCTGTTCAACCAGAGGGACAAAGATACAACATGTTAATATCTGAGCTCCACCTCTGTGACCTCCACCACAAATCAATCTTCTCATCGCACCGAGAGAACGAGACAGAAGGGAAAGAAAGTAAAACAATTACATACGTGTGTCTTTTCCTTTTGTGTGCATGGTTCTCGTATCAAACCCAAACATGTGTTGTGATGCAACAGGAATAAATGTTATTCTCCTTTGAAAATCAAAACCTCGTGGAATGAAGGAACAAAAAGCCTCAGGATGCAGATACCAAAGTAAAATATTATAAAAATGAAGTTTTTAAAAAGTCCCATTTGTTTTGTTGTGTTGTGTGAGAACTTACCTTCTCTGTTTCTTCGTGAAACACTTTGTCCCCCACACACACACACAAACAAGTTCCCACCCTGTCTTCAGTCAACAGCAAAAGAACCCGCCCCTACCCAGCTGTCTTTTCTTCAAAATAAAAGTCTCTTCATTACAGATTTAAAGCTGCAGCAGCATCGACTCATAGAGTAGCACACAGCACAGAACATGTTAGTGTGTCTGTATATGAATATGTTATTCAAGGAATTCTTTTTAATTGAATAATGTAATAATGCAATTGTTTAATTGACAATTTAATAGTTGATAGTATTTATATCATCTATTATAATTATGAATAGAAAATTAATTCTGGGGGAAAAACACAGGTTTCCCCATTTTTCCCATCTTTATTCAAATATATTTACTAAAAACCATTATTCTCAAGATGGCAAATGTTAAATCACGTAACTTGAGAGTAGTGTCTTTGTGAAACAGTTTGAAAAAGGACACGTTGAATGTCCATGATTCATGTTTGGATGAATTGATTTGAAGCAACAGGCTGGTACATGTTAAAAATACCTGTTTTTAATTAAAATCAACTTTCAAAACCTTGCCTGTATCATTAAAATATGAAATGAGGTTACTACATTAAACTCTGCTGTAGTTCTTCTGAATGAACAAGATCAATAAATTCCAAAAGTCCAGAGGTGCCGGCCGATAACAAGCTTTTCTCAGAATTAATAATTCAACTGCACAGTTCTGTGTAATTTAATAAGAGGAAGAAATCATCACATTTTCTTATGTCAGGTTTGATTTTATTGAAATGTCAAATACAAGCAGTCCAAGTAAAAAGGACATTTTACTCTGATATAGTGAAGTAGTAATATAAAGCAGCTGGCAAAGGAAATAGTAAAATAAAGTACAAGTACTAAAATTATACTTAAACAAAGTTTCTGGGCCGAAAGTACTTTCTACCACTGTGTAAGATTTTAAAGTAACAACACATTGTACAGCACAAAAAAGAATATATTGATTCTACCACAGATGAAATTAAAGCATGATCACATCAGCTGGGTTTATTTCTTAAGAAAAACTTCAACTTAAACAGAAAGTATCTAATGGAAAAACTATTAAAAAAATATTTGTGTTTGTGTTCATCTTCATCTCAAACATAAGCTTGAAGCTTTCATGATACTGTTCACTGCAGGAATATAATGGAATACTGCAGTCTGTAGTTTTGAAACCTTTATCTCTAACAAAGTTTAATGAACACATAAGTCTATTGGTGCTACATGCAGACACGTACGTGCACGAATCTCCCTTTTCCCTCCAAACCGACTGAAACACAAATGGAAAGCAGCATTTACATTTTAGATGATAAACAAAACTACTGTGAAGAGCTAGCGCAAATATTTGAAACCAAACCTTGAAGGAGAAGAAGTTAAGCTGAGTTAAATCACTGATGCTAATGCAAACTATGACACCTTCCTGGTCTTAGTTCAGGCTTTAGTTTCACTTGGTGAATTCCTCCAGAAGAGGTCTCTGCTGCTCCGGGTCTCCTTTGTTCTGAAAGAGGAAAAGAATCAGTGACACAAATGAAAATGTAATTAATGTTCAGGGGACTGACATCAGACGTCAGATGAGAAAATCAATACCATTCTAATCTGTACATTCTACAACTCTAGAGCCAGTAGACGAAAGTCTTTGTGTTCAGTCAACACATCCAGGTTCCAACAATGAAATGTGATTGTGTGTAATCTACCTCTTTTTCTCTCTTGTCCCTGCTCCTCAGAGCCTTGATCCCCAGGACGACAGAGCTGAGGGCGACGCAGAGCTCCAGGGCCGACAGGACGATCAACACGCCATTGATGCCTCTCAAGACCATCTGGTGGGACGTAAAAAAAGTTCTCATATTTGTACATTGCATAAATTAAATCCTACAAATGATATACTTTCTCACTCAAAACTAGATTTATTCAAACAATATATACACCAAGTCTATTAAATATCACAAAACAGTGAGAAATGCTCATCACTCGTCTTAAAATGTCTGTTTATGTTAAATTATGTTCCTCAGTTCGTTTGCTGAAATCACCAAAACGTACCAGAGTCAGATCTCGGCCCGCCATGCATCTCTCCAGGATGATGCTCTTCTCAGGAGACGTTGTGGTCATTCTTGTCTTGTACCTGTATTCATAATTGTCATCTTCACACATCCACCACATGTCGATGTTTGCCATGTTGAAGCTGTAGAGTACGATGGCTGTTATGGCAAAAGCAACTCCCGTCATGCCCAGAATCACATTCATGCTGACCTGGAAAACAAGTCTGGTCAGTTCTTTTGATGCAATTAAATGGAAAACAGATACAACACCAAGGAATTCTTGGGAATTCTGTGACATTTCATGTAGCGTGCACAAAAAGATTCAAACAAGAAGAAGAGAGGACAATATATTAAAAGATATATAAATAAATCTGAACTACTCACCAGACATAGACTGGGGAACTTCTCCGAGATAATGCACATCACACCAAATAATATAAACTAGAGAGGAGACAGAGAAATCGTAGAAATTCATTCTTACACACAAACACTAAATAAAAATACATTTGGTCGATGAAGACTTTTGTGTAATCCTGCTGACAACTGTGTGCAAATAAAATCTCTTCAGCTGAACAGCTCAGAGGAAAATCCTGTTGGGTTTTTAGTCACAACACAAAAGGACATTTGTTGAAAAAAAGTAAATCCGACAAAAGCCTGCTTACCAATACTCCCAACCAAACAGGAAACAAGGTTTCATCCATTTGCCACGAAGAGCCACCTCCACTGTTAAGGAGAATCACTCCGAGGCCAATGTTGAGCAAACCAACCATAATGTGCAGAGCCTGTGGAGCAGGAAACGCAGAATGAACAAGATTTCAAACATCTGCACGGTTACCACACGTTTAACAAGACCACTAACATGTTTTAATTAAAAGTTCAAATCAGAGAGGAAAGAAAAGATGCCTCATAAAAAGAAAAAACTAGAAAGTTAAAGCTCAAGTTCTCAGAGAAACGTAGAACAGACGGTTGCAGAGCAAATCCTGGATTTGTCTGTTTATCCAGATCCACTCCCTGATTTAATGTTTCCCTCTTTGGGTCCCAGCCCTCCGCAAAAATAGCATCAGCAGTTTTTGAGTAATCCAGACGGACAAATAAACGAACTGTGCGGAGGTAAAGGTTGTAACTCACCCCAAGTACTGACATTCTCTGAATCGTCCTCAGGTGCTCGGACACACTGCAGCAAGCTGGGCTGTAACAGAGGGACTTCAGGATTTGGCACAGTGGCGGACAGGGACTTTGGGGGTCAAAGGTCAAAGTGAACACAGTGACCCCCTCACCTTTGGTCAAGGAGACAGACATCTTTCCTGAGACAGAGACAAGACAGCATATGAACGTTTGAAACCATAACATGTGAATCATCACCTGGTGGATGGCTGGGTTTTCATTCTATGTTTTTACTATTTGTAGTTTGTTAGCAATGTTGGAAATAAAATTATAGAAGGAGGCGGGTGGGAAAATTTACCGAAAGATGTTTTGGGAGAATGACACGTCATGAGAAAAGATGTTTTCATTAATACATTTAACACTTAACCATCAGATACTCACACAAACCAAGAACCAGATAGATTTCATTAAAAATGAAAATTAACAAATCATTTCAATATGTTTATTTAGTTCTGATCATTACATTTTTATATTATTATTTCGTTCTAATCATGATATTTATATTATTCAATTCTGATATTTATATTTGTATTATTATTTTGTTCTAATCATTAAATGTGTATATTATTATTTCGTTCTGATCATGATATTTATATTATTTAATTCTGATATTTATATTATTATTTACTTCTAATCATGATATTTATATTATTATTTACTTCTAATCATTAAATGTTTATATTATTATTTCGTTCTGATCATGATATTTATATTATTTAATTCTGATATTTATATTATTATTTACTTCTAATCATGATATTTATATTATTATTTACTTCTAATCATTAAATGTTTATATTATTATTTCGTTCTGATCATGATATTTATATTATTTAATTCTGATATTTATATTATTAMTTACTTCTWATCATGATATTTATATTAATAAATATTATTACTTGGGTGTAACCAGGAGCAACTATGAGGTTGCATCGCTGCAGCAAAGATTTTCTCCTTACCTTTAGTAAAGGTCCGACGTTTCCTCTGCTAAAGGAAATAAGTTAGGAAGCATTGAAGCTCCTTTCCTTTCCTAATCCTTCAGAGAATTAGGACAGCTCTTATTCTGACGGCTGCTGAAATGCATCCGGGTCATTTTCCTCAGTTGCGTAGGTAAATAGACTTTTCTAACTTCCAGAGAGGAACATCTGATTTAATGAAAGGTTTTTATTATACCTGCATTAAACTAAATCATCAACTACTTCCTGTTTTACTTTAATCCTCCTGATCTTCACTTCACCTCCTGTCAGTTCAAACCCTGCGACGCAACATGTCAGACATTAAACCTGACTGGGTCACAGCCTGAAGCACGTGGACTCACCTGGTTGTGTTTGTTGTTGAAGAATCGAGCCTGTGTGGAAACGAGCCTGACTTCAGTGTTAGTACGCAGTTAAGTTTCAGAGGAGCAGAAACGTGATGGCTGCCTGTTCCCAGAAGTACCTCCTCCAAAAACCTTAACCCTTCAGCGACTGTGCAGCCTCAGTGTCTGTACATCTGGAGGAGGTACTTCTGGGAATATTCAGAGGGGCTTTTATCTAGAAGATGTTTTTTTTTTTTTTTTTTACAATCTAAAACCACAGACTGTTTATAAAAACACCACAGAGGAGCTGGAGGGGGGATGAGCAGGGCCGTAGCAAGAAATTCAGGGGTCCAGTTTTCCTTCATGTCATTTCAACATTCGTTATCACAACATTTTACACACTGCACCTTTAAATCTGATTATGACGTAAACGGAATCGTGTGTCATCGTTTTCCATTTCCCGACATTCATCATTTATCTGGCACACTTCATCCTTACGAGAAAGTGGCCTGAAGGATGGAGGGAACGACAAACAACTGGAGAAAAATGAAAAATGTTGATATATTGTCATTTGAATTTATTTAACATTTAGTTCTTAACTTTTGCTCTGATAATCCGCTGGGCTGTGTTTTTCATTCATCATCTCAACACCCAGCTGATATTTATCTTTTTCTGTATGCAATTATTGTTGCATCCGGCCAAACAATCAATCAGAGGCCACGCCCCCAAAACGTGCGGTTCAAGGTTTTGATAAATATTTTTTTATTTGCATGTATGTGATGTCACTCTTTTTTCATTTGTATTTCTAACTTCTATGTTTCTAAGATCTAGACTTTCATGATAGTTGGACCTTGGTGCAGGTTTGTGCTCTACTGAGTGCCAGTCTAGTTATTCTTTGTCTATTGTTATTATTATTCATTTTTACCATCAGTTTTCTCTCTGTTTGTTCTCCTGGTCTCGTTCACATGTGTTACACCCGTTTCCTCCCCCTGGACACATTTCAGGGAAGTGACAAACAAAGAAACTGAAGTGTGACATCACAAAGCAAATAAGGCGTCAGATCAATGAGGAGGAGGCAGTAAAATAATATTTATTTTTCTCTTAGTTTTGGTCAGAAAATGATGACGAATAGAGAATCGGTTTTGGTTTACAAGATATTTATTCCTTCTTTCGAGAATGTACAATGAAGACGTGTGAGTTCTCTAACACATGGCTCACACTGTGTATATCTACCTGACTTCTACCACCAGTTGATATTAATAACAGTTTGAATGAGGTCGATGCCAGGGAAGTCCATGGCAATGATACCAAAGCATGGTCTGGGCTTATTGGGGTAGAACTGCCTCAGGTATTGATCAAGCCATGGGTTAACCTTCTCAGCCACTCGTTTTGGAGTCAGAAACATTCCCATGAAAGTACCGAAGCCAGTGCCACTAGTGTACGTCATCACAGCATTATCTCCTCCGCAGGCTTCATTGGCCTGGTTCAGCTGTTTTATTATTCTGTTGTCTTTATCTTTAACATTGGTAACCTCGCTTTTACCCTCTGTCTCCACCAGGGGGATTCCTAGGGTGAAGGTGCTCTCCTGCAAAAAAACAATCTTCCCCCTGACTTGACCCATGTTTGGCATCCCAGAGGTCACCCAGACGTGTTGGTCATTGCCGAGCAGACTCTTCACCATGTCATTGACCTTTTTCTTCTCAAAAGACTCTGGTTGCACTCTAATGAGCACAGCCTCAGTCTTGAACTCTGACAGGAAGGCTTTAACTGTGTCCAGGACCTCTTTGAAACTGCTACGCTGATACATCACACCGTGCATGACATAGAGGGTGTCGAACAGACCAAACACTTTGAGATCCAAAAAACGGATGCCAGCCCTCAGCTGATCATTCAGGGTCAAAGCCTGGCATTCGCTCTCTGGGCCTCCGTAGCGGGCCATGGTGTCATGGGTACCAGGGATGGTCATGAGCGACAGGGTGCGGAAATCCTCAACGCCTGCCATCCATGAAATTCTGTAGGACCCAGGGAGTACGAGGTTTCCGTTGTCGTTGAAGAAAACCCCTTTGCCGTGGCACAAAAGTCTGAAGATGTAGAAGATTTGGATTGTTACAGTGACTCCAGTGCCACCAAATTGCAGCATTTGCAGTATTAGTTTATTGCAGCATAAAAACAACATACTCCTTACTTTTATGTGCAAAAATTAATATTGTACTCACATGACAGACAGCAAAACATGCTGGAAAAACAGACACTTGTGACCAGCCTTCATTCTTGCAGAAATATGAGAAATCTACCAAAGGAAATGGAAAAAATTGGGCATTTAACACATCAAAATCATTGGTTAAATTACTAACCAAGTATCCGATCAAGCTGGTTTACAGTTAGCTAAAATTCAACAGTTTTCTACCTTACCTTCGAGCCAGGAGGATTTCAACATCAACTGCTGCGATGGGCATAAAGGACACCGTGCAACCAGAAATCCCAAACTTATATTCCTTGGTTATCTGAGAATTTGTAGGTGTGGGCCGCAGTAATCAGCTGTATGAATCAGACTGATTGTTCTTGATGTGGAACAATCGAACAGGGTGGTTCAGATTGTGATGTTTGAGAAGGTGGATCCCTTCGCGGTGAAAAGAAACCCAGTCCGATTAGATAAGATATTTCTTAATTTTCACTGGGAACGATGTCAAATCCATGCTGCTCCATCAGCACAAAGAAAATTACAAAGATGACTCAGCAGTGCAACGAGAGCCAGAGGACCAAAACCACGCAGTAGTGGAAAGTATGAAAGCTCGATTACTGCTCTTAAAAGGCAATTTTGTGGTACTTTTACTTCACTTTAGTGTTTATATGTTTTCCAGTATTTGTGCACTTCAATGACAAACATCGATCCTTTTACAGCACTACACATATTTTACATCATGAGTGACTAGTAACTTTGAGCAATAGCTGAATGTGGCCTGTAGTGTGAAGCATTTTGAGTTGTCATCAAGGCCAGAGAAGTACTGTAGATAAATGTATTCCATGAAAATTATAGGTTATTTTATTTCTATATTATTTTCAGCAGCAACATTAAAATGTGTCAATAACTGTAATTCAATTACATCATTTACATCATTCTGAAATAGGCCATTCTGTAAAAAGAGTACTTTAACCTTTGGTGCATATGTTGATGAAATGAATGATGTATGTTGCATGGCTAGTGAAGTAATAATGAGTAGCATGCAATACTCATACACGTGGGAGATATTATAGAATATTAAAAACAAATATATACAATTAAATGTGATGGGGTGGAACTGGGCTGTAGAAGAATGAATACGCATATAAAGTAAACTTTACACAGGTAATTTACTTTCTAACTGTAATTACATGTAATATGACAAATTATCCTACAATCACAAAATATGACATTTGTCTCCTTCTTCAAACTGTAGAGCTGCAGTTCAGCTGAGCGTCGATAGGTGGCGGCGACACGCCGACGCAAAATCACCTCTGCCGGGAACCATACCGAAGAAGAAGAAGAAGCGGCAAAGATGGCGGAGAGCAGCAGCAGCAGCGACCACACGGAGGACGTCAATGCGAATAAAGATGACTCTTCCCGGGGAACCCCGATGGTGCTGAACGTCAGGACTCCGGAGGGAACCGAGAGAATCGCGATCTGGGAGGAATCCTCTGTGACGCAGGTGCGTTCACTGACCTGTTTCCATCATGCTACAAAGTTAGCTAGCTTCTCCTGTCAGCTGTCAGACTTCTGCACGCGTGACGTAAATCACGTTGACTGTGTTCATGAATGTAACGTGGGATTAGTTAGTCGGGTTTAACATAACCTGACGTGTGACGCAGCATCCAGTGAAAACTGTTCCCTCACTGACAAAGTAGGGGAAAGGTCAAAACGTCTTAAAGGTCCAGGGTGAAAGATTCAGGTGAAAGGGAACTGAGGTTTAATGTAGAATAATCATCACGATGTTTGTGCCATCTAAATGAATTGTAGTTTTCTTTACCCCAGAAAATACTTTATATTTAAGTACTTTATATTTACATGGAGGGGACCCTCTCTACAGAGGCAGCCATGTTCTTTACATTAGTCCAGACTGGACAAACTAAACACCTTCTGAGTTTTTATGACGACTGAAGCTACCACAGGTTCTTCTTCATGTTTGGAATGAGAGGGTGAGGAGAGGGTGAGGAGAGGGTGAGGAGAGGGGTGAGGAGAGGGGTGAGGTGAGGGGTGAGGTGAGGGGTGAGGTGAGGGATGTTCAGCTGCAACATGATCAACACTAGATGTCACTAAATTCTACACACTGAACCTTTAAATGTGGACATGTTCTTCATGTGAGGTGTTTTTTATTTTAATCTGTCCACAACCGTCAAAGACAAATACCTGGTTCAACCTCTTTATATACAGTCTTTGTACAATACTCTCCAATACTTCCGCGTATTTCTTTTCGACGTAGTTTACGATGAACCTACTGCCTCGGGTGTGAAGGGCCCGGGGGCCGCACTTTGTGGAAATACTGGTTCTCAACTATCATTGCTATTTGAGCCCATTTCCAGAAAGAGAGAGAGAGAGAGAGAGAGAGAGAGAGAGGATGCCAATAATGAAACACAATAATACATGCAATAATGAAAAAGCTCTTTAATTATAAGTGACAAGTTTCTCTACTTTGGTATTTAAAAAATATCGAAACATTTATGATTTTATTAAACAAACTCATTACTTCAAGAACTTAGTAAGAAAGTTCAAGCTGTTACGAACACAAACTAACCAATTGATGGTTGTTGTCTCTTTGAACCGAATGTTAACGGATAAACAACGGGGATTAATTGGGGCTAACCAGAGAGCGGCGGTAATGCACATCCAGTTGTTTGCAAACCACCAACAAACAACTGAAGAGGAAGAAGAGAACTGCTTTACCGCCAGGCACTGGTCAAACCTTTGTGGCTGCCCAGTGAGATTAGATGTTACTCTAAAAACAGGAGAAAACAGAAGACTTATCTTATCTTACATTATCTGTGACATTATCTGTCCTCTGGTCAAACTGACAGCTCGCTGATAAGTGAACCTTTGTCTACCAGGCAGGGCGCTGTTGACCAACATCACTAAACAAACCAAACTTTGATGCTGATGTGTGAAACTGTTTCCCAACCCTTTCCCGCTAACTGAAGGAGTAACCTCTGTGACGCTGTTCAACCCTCGCATGTCCTGGTGCTCGCATGTCCAGGTTAACAAAAGCTTTGCTGCTTGGCTTTATATCAAATTCACACAATAGGTTTCATGCACTGTTTTTTGAACAAAGATGTAAAAATAACTTGTATTTTTTCAGTGGAATATAACCTGACTCTTGATTTCTGGACACTGGACTCTTGATTTTATGGGACATGTTGCAGTTTTTACTTGTGGGACTTTCCTGAGTGAAATATTTCAAAAATTGCTGACATTTTAGCTAGCTCTGGCTAATGCTACACTACATGGTTAAATTTCCACACTGGCCGGTTCCTGACCCAGTATTTTCAGTATGTCTGATGCTGGTATCAGTAATGGAACATCTCTAAATGTAATGAATCACCTTGTTTCAGGAGGTACCCCCATGTGTGACAGTATGAACTCAGATCATTTTAGAACTAGATTGTCACACAGCACCCATCTTCAAACCAGGGGCACTAGATCGCATGGTAATGTAGGATTATGTTCTACTTATGTAGTTCTGATCCCCAATAATATTAGCAACTAATCAAATCACCAAAACCTTGCTGACATACATTGAACCTGCATTTCTTCTTGGAACATCAAGGCAGCTGCTGACTTTGCTCGGTTGGTAATTTACCATCATTCTTTTTTCCACATGTGTCCAGTTAAGACAGGAGGTTTCCAAAAGATTTGAGACGACCCAGGACCAACTGGTGCTGATATTCACAGGGAAGATTCTGAGGGATACTGATACTCTGAAGCAGTATGGTATCAAAGACGGACACACCGTTCATCTCGTTATCAAGAACTTCCCAAAGTAAGTATAGTCCATGAGATCTGTGTTAAGAGGTCTCGCTTACATCTGGTGAGATTATTATTTGATGGCTGCTGTCTCTTAAGACCAACAGGTGGAAGTGCATCTCAGTCAAGTTCCACTTCTTCACCACCTCAACAAAACACCATCAGCAGCAGCAGCATCACCAGCATCACCAGCACCACCAGTAGCACCATCAGCAGCCCCAGCCCCACTGTAGCAGGCAGCAGCGGTCAGACACTGACACAACCTGCTAATGCAATGAGTAAGAAAAGAACATTACATTTACTGTTCTAGGTTTTAGTGTTGAAATGTTTTCTGCTTTCTCTGAAAACCATGTCAAAGTTCCTGATGCTTAAATTATCTTCGAGAAAGAAACTCACTCTGATTCATATACTTAGAATGCAAAGCAAATGAACCTCTCAGCTTGAGGTGTGGTCTTCAAAATGGGGAAAAAACGTTGTTGTACTGCTTCATGTGTCATCATACTCAATAACACGCTACATGCTATCAACAGGCTGTGATTTGGTTCCAGCATGCCACATGCCAACACACCTGCCTATAACTTACTCACCTGTATCCTTCCTCCTCAGGGGGACTCGACATGTCCAGCTTGTTAGGTCTCGGCATGGGTTCACCCAACTCAACGCAGATGCAGCAGCAGATATTGTCCAACCCACAGATGCTGTCACAGATCATGGGGAACCCGTTGTTCCAGAACGTGATGTCCAACCCAGACCTGATGAGACAGATGTTACCAGGCAATTCTCAGATGCAGCAGCTCTTAGGAAACCCCAACATTTCTCGCATGTTTAACAACCCTGAGTTTATGAGACAGGTCAGAGCAAAGCTTTCACTTTTGTGCCCTGAAACATTTACATTTAACGTTCAGCAGGGAAGACATGGGACAATTTTTGGGGCTCTACAGGTTTTAAAGCTGATTTTCATCACTTTTGTCATTGAGCAGTTGCAGAATCCTGAAACACTTTCTACGATGAGCAACCCCAGAGTCAGACAGGCCCTCGAACAGATTCAACAGGGCCTGCAGATATTACAGACTGAAGTCCCAGGATTCATGTCCAGGTACCAGCTACACCCCTGATTCTACCTATTCTTAAAGATTTGTCTTCATCCATGAGTCCACTCAGGAAATATTATTTAATGGCACAATTACCAAGATGTTTGTGTAAAGAAACTTCTTCTTCTATACGTCAAAACTTCAGGGCAACTTTCATTTATCTAAATGTATTCTTCCGCCTCCAGTGTCTCTACGGGAGGTCTCACAGTTCCTCCAGCCACAAGGGGCAGTGTCCCTCCGTCCACAGGGGGCATTGTCCCTCCATCCACAAGGGGCAGTGTCCCTCTGTCCACAGGGGGCATTGTCCCTCCATCCACAAGGAGCGGGGTCCCTCCACAGAACCCCCCCTTTGCTGCCTTTCCACCAGGATCCAGTCCCTCACAGCAGATGCAGCAGATGCAGCAGATGTTACAGATGTTTCGAAGCGATGGGCCATCGGTACGTTTAATCAGGATGCAACAACTTGTTAGAGTTCGTCAGAGTTAGTTTATTGAGAAAGACAAATTGATTATATCTGTGAATGTGACGAGTCAAACATTTTAGATTAAAATATTGATTTCAATTAGTATTTTATCTTTTGTTTGAAGTGAAACTAAAAAGGGTTTAATGTTAGTGACAGTTTACAGAACTATATCTGAGAGGATGAATTTGTCTTTGTATTATGATGCAGAAACTGCACTTAGGAGTATTGTAAATATAGTTAAACCCTAGAGGTTGTTTCAAAATATTAGTTCAAGATCTGTCTTCTCTCTCATTATTGACCGTAATCATAATCTCAAAGGTTCCACCTCTGTAAATAAAAAGAATCAGACTTCATATGCTCTCTCTTCTCTCACAGCTTCAGGCACCGGAGGCTCGTTTTCAGCAGCAGCTTGCCCAGCTCAACGCCATGGGCTTCATCAACCGTGAAGCTAACCTGCAGGCGCTTATCGCAACAGGAGGGGACGTCAACGCGGCCATTGAAAGGCTGCTGGCCTAACGTGCTCAGTTCATTTTGGGGATTGGTGCTTGAAGACTGATAGAGTTGGGGACTAGCCCAATATATTAAATCAACATGATCTTGGTAAATTCAGTCCTCTATGACATTCAAGTCTGACCTGAACCCCAGATAGAATTAGAGCTGTTACAGTCACTTGTTTTCCATTTGTAGGAGCCACATTTAAGTTTATTTTCAGCTGGTGATGGCCATCGGCAATGCAACAATGAAAAACTGAAGCAACTGCATCTTATTGTCCTATTATATTTTATTTGCAGTCAATTCTAAGCTACAGTGAACAATGCATTCTCTCTGCACCTCTCTTTGGAAACAAGGCTGCGAGTCTGAGACACTGCACCTGAACTCTATGTGGCAAAAACAATAGGAAATGAAATAGAGGTTAAAGGGAAAACCCTTCATGAAAAAACTTCAGGGGTTTTTGTCACTACACCATTAATCTGTAAATCGTAAGGATGAGATGAAGGATTGAGAATGAGTGGTGACAGTGCTGCTACCATTCAAAGACACCACAGCCGTCACAGCTTTAGTTTCTCTCGCTACTGCAGACGGAGATAGTTTCAGGCCTGTCCTTTACGTCTTCCACATGAGGATGCAGAGAAATTTAAGTTAAGTAGTGTTTACATTATTTAATTCTTAAGTATTGTATTTTAGTTGAAGAGTTTTAAAACGGGGTTCTGTTGCAGTAGGTTGGATGATGTTCCATTCTGGGCACTCGGCTTGTTTTTAATGTGGTTTATTTTCACTCTTGAGCCTTAATCTTTCCTGACTGACAGGAATTTATTAACTTAAATATAATATTTTATCCGGATTTCTTTTGTTACACATTTTCTTTCATCAGAACTGTTTAGAGTACTTCATCAAATGTTAATGGTTGTATCTGCTGTGAGTATGTTTCCAGGAGAAAGAGAAAATGTTCAGGTTGTTGGACCAAGGCTATGATACTGTTATGTTAGAATAAGGGGAGGTCAACTTTAAAGTTCATTGCTGGCATTATTGCAACATTGGCTCTACATGATAATGTGTGATACCTCAATGTAACTAATGGGATCTGCAAAATAATGCAAAGTTTAACTAAATCTTAAATCGTTTGTCTACCTTCTGACTTTTTAACCAAATTATCTTAGTAGATGTGGGAAAAAAATTGCGGAAAAACTTAAACATTCGGAGGTTTTGTTGATTTGAATCATTGGTGAGTAATGTTCTTTTGTCTGCAACCAACCTTTCGAATTTAAAATATGTTCCTTTAACATCTCAGTCACTGACAGTTCTGTGCAGTGATGGAGAAAGAGATTAAACAGTAAATGTAGAAATTCCACATATATTTCTGACTATAAAATTCTGTATTTTGTCTTTTTAAAAGATAAGTTTACAATTATTTTAAGTATTTAAAATAAAATCACCTATTTGTTACGAATGCTTATTTTTAAAGTGTATTTTTTTCACACAGTCGTACATTCTAAAAGGTTATACTGTAGATTATAATATGATTCTTACTGCTCACCCGATAACCAGATAGACGAACGTTTATTTAAAAAGATGAGGTAAGTTAATGAATATTTGATAAAAGAGTCAAATTTAAATATGGCAGAGTTAGCAAAAATGCTAGTTTGCTTTAATATCAGTACATTTCACTTTATTTTAACAGGATAAGCCAGCCTGTATCAATATCGCTGTCCATGGAGTCATTGTCAGTTAACTGAATTCATGTAAATACTGAAGACATGAGAATAAAAGTTCTTTAATAGTAGTAGGTCAGTAGCTGTTTGTTGCGTACAGCTTCATTTGTCATTGTCTAGTATACGCACTGATGCTTTGAGACCATAGAAGTTCATAACTCATACAAATATGAAGTTGACGGAGTAACAATAAATCTATTTTACATGTTCTCATGGATGTTAGTGTATTTAACTAAGAGTCCTTGAAGAACGCCTATGAGATCCCGTCATAAGGAAAACATTTGGGCCAAAGTCGTAAAACTAAATGGTTTATATGCAATTGCTTAGTAAAACGTTGTGTGTCTCTCTTTGTTGTCTTGAATATATTTATTCAGTCTATAGAGAACATAAATACAAATGGAGAGTGTGACTGATACTGGGAATACAGTCCATAGACACCAAGATCTTGCATAATGGATCTGATAGATGTGGAGATTTTATTCATTCATTTTTAGTCTAACCCCCGAGAGCTAACAAACTATCCAATACACTTTCATAAACCAGAATTTATCTCATTAATTAAATCACAAATAGCTTTAGTTGCTCTCAGACACTTTGTGGCATCAATGGCAGCTGCCTCCAAACAGTATTTCATCAAAGGCAGCTGCCTCAAAACAGTATAGAATCAAAGGCATCAGCCTCCAAACAGTATTTCATCAAAGGCAGCTGCCTCTAAACAGTATAGCATCAAAGGCAACAGTCTTTACACATCTGTGGCAGTTTTTGTTTCCAGCAGAAGTGCCACTACGAACTGCCATTGACACGATTTGAGCTTGCCCTTACTGGAAAGATGGCAGAGAAAAAGAAGAGCAACCACACGGAGGATGTCAATGTGAATAAAGATGAATCTTCCTATGACACCCCGATGAAGATTAACATCCGAACTCTGGATGGAAACGAGACAATATCGATTCGGGAGGAAGCCTCTGTGGCACAGGTGCGTTCACTGACCTCTTTCCATCATGCTACAAAGTTAGCTAGCTTCACCTGCAACTGTCAGACTACTACACCCGTGACGTTAATCAAGTTAACTGAATGTGTTCATGAATGTAACATCGGATAGGTTAGCCGGGTTTAATATAACCTGATTTGTGACACATCATTAAGTCTAAACTGTTCCCTCACTGACAATTAGGGGAAAGGTCAAAACGTTTTAACTGTGGACATGTTCTTTATATTAGCAGTTTTTTTAATCTGTCCACAACTATCAAAGTTTACTAGTTCAAATCCGATACCTGTTCTTTCTCATAATTCTTTTCTCTTCCTGATAAATCGTAGTTTATGATAAACCTTCTTCTCAGGTATGATCCCCAATAATATTAGCAACTAATCAAATCACCAAAACCCTCTTCACATACACTGAACCATTTCTTCTTGGAACATCAAGGCAGCTGCTGACTTTGCTCGGCTGGTAATTTACCATCATTCTTTTTTCCTCATGTGTCCAGTTAAGACAGGAAGTATCCAAAAGATTTGAGATGACCCAGGACCAACTGGTGCTGATATTCACAGGGAAGATTCTGAGGGATACTGATACTCTGAAGCAGTGTGGTATCAAAGAAGGATACACCGTTCATCTCGTTATCAAGAACTTCCCAAAGTAAGTATAGTCCATGAGATCTGTGTTAAGAGGTCTCGCTTACTGGTGAGATTATCATTTGATGGCTGCTGTCTCTTAAGACCAACAGGTGGAAGTGCATCTCAGTCAAGTTCCACTTCTTCACCACCTCAACAAAACACCAGCAGCAGCAGCAGCAGCAGCACCAGCACCAGCACCACCAGTAGCACCATCAGCAGCCCCAGCCCCACTGTAGCAGGCGGCATCGGTCAGACACTGACACAACCTCCTAATGGAATGAGTAAGAAAAGAACATTACATTTACTTTGTAGGTTTTTGCACTTCAGGGGGTTTTAGTGTTGAAATGTTTTCTGCTTTCTCTGAAATATTTCTCTAAAAATGGCACAATAATGTGACCAAACAGTTCTCCATCATCAACCAAAATTATTACATACTACAACATTCCAATGAGATATTTTTTTGTTCTAAGAAGACTGAGTCTGAAGTCTGGTTGTGTTTTGGTGTTACAAGAGTGCTGAAGGCAACTTGATTAAAGGTGATCACCCCGCTCTGATTCATATACTTAGAATGCAAAGCAAATGAACTTTTAGCTCTCAGCTTGAGGTGTGGTCTTCAAAATGGGGAAAAAACGTTGTTGTACTGCTTCATGTGTCATGCGTCTACATACTTTATCCACCCATTGCACTCAATAACACGCTACATGCTATCAACAGGCTGTGATTTGGTTCCAGCATGCCACATGCCAACACACCTGCCTATAACTTACTCACCTGTATCCTTCCTCCTCAGGGGGACTTGACATGTCCAGCTTGTTAGGTCTCGGCATGGTTTCACCCAACTCAACGCAGATGCAGCAGCAGATGCAGCAGCAGCAGCAGCAGCAGATGCAGCAGCAGATCCATCAGCAGATGCAGCAGCAGATGCATCAGCAGATGCAGCAGCAGATGATGCCCAACCCACAGATGCTGTCACAGATCTCAGAGAACCCGGTGTTCCTGGAAGTGATGTCCAACCTAGCCGTGACGAGACAGTTGTTATCAGGCTATTCTCAGAGGCAGCGGCTCTTTGAAAGAAGGTTTTCCTACATGTTCAACACCCCTGAGTTTATGAGACAGGTCAGAGCTGAGCTTTCACATTTCAAACATTTACATTTAACGTTCAGCAGGGAAGACATGGGACAATTTTTGGGGCTCTACAGGTTTTAAAGCTGATTTTCGTTATCTTTGTCATGTAGGAGTTGGAGAATCCAGAAACACTTTCTATGATGAGCCACCCCAGAGTCAGACAGGCCCTCGAACAGATCCAACAGGGCCTGCAGACATTACAGGTTGAAGTCCCAGGATTCATGTCCAGGTACCAGCTACACCCCTGATTCTACCTATTCTTAAAGATTTGTCTTCATCCATGAGTCCACTCAGGAAATATTATTTAAT